ATTCCTTCTATAGTACATGTTGAGCCTGTCAGCTGGGGAAAATGTGTCCAAAACTGCAAAATTAAAAAAGAAAGGGAGCTAAAACAGATCATAGAATCCTAGAGTTGGAAGAAAACTTGTGGGCCATAGAGTCCAACCCCATTCTGCCAAGAAGCAGGAATATTGCATTCAAATCACCCCTGACAGATGGCCATCCAGCCTCTGCTTAAAAGCCTCCAAAGAAGGAGCCTCTGCCACACTCCGGGGCAGAGAGTTCCACTGCTGAACAGCATTCACAGTCAGGAAGTTCTTCCTAATGTTTAGGTGGAGTCTTCTTTCTTGTAGTTTGAGGCCATTGTTCCGCGTCCTAGTCTCCAGGGCAGCAGAAAACAAGCTTGCTCCCTTCTCCCTATGACTTTCTCTCACGTATTTATACATGGCTATCATGTGTCCTCTCAGCCTTCTCTTCTTCAGGCTAAACATGCCCAGCTCTTCAAGCCACTCCTCATAGGGCTTGTTCTCCAAGCCCTTGGTCATTTTAGCCACCCTTCTCTGGACACATTCCAGCTTGTCAACATCTCCCTTCAACTGTGGTGCCCAGAACTGGATACAGTATTCCAGGTGTGGTCTGACCAAGGCAGAATAGAGGGGTAGCATTACTTCCCTGGATCTAGACCAAGCATGTGGGAGATAAAAGTCCAAACACTTGGAGGGCTGAAGTTTGCCCATGCCTAGTCTAGACACTACACACTTTTTGATGCAGGCAAAATCCCATTGGCTTTTTTAGCCGCCGCATCACAGATGTAGGGAGAAAATACTGCAGGTTAGGATAAACTAGGCCGGGGTCAACTTGGGCCCTCTGGGTGTTTTGGACTTCAACTCCCACCATTCCTAACAGCCTCAGGCCCTTTCGTTCACTTAAGTGGCTGAAGGGGAAAAGGAAGAGACCTGGACCTGGGGCTGTTAGGAATTGTGTTTTAGTGTGTGTGTGTGTGTGTATATCTATATATCTATATATCTATATATCTATATATCTATATATATATATATATATATCTATATATATATATTGTGTTCCGGCATTGAATTTCTGCCGTATATATATTGTGCTCTGCCCTGAGTACCCTTTGGGGTGAGAAGGGTGGAATACAAATGCTTTTTGGGAAATGCTTTTCCCAAAATGCTTTTCTTTTTTCAAAGCATACCTATTATTAAAGGGACTAAAATTTTCAATTTGTGGAAGAGGGATATCATGAATTTCATTTGGGCAGGGAAAAAAGCCAGGATTGCTTACAAAAATTTAATTGATACCAAAGAGAGGGGAGGACTAAATTTACCAGATTTAAAAACCTACTATGAGGCCGCCTGCATGAGCTGGCTCAAAGATTGGATACAATTCCGGAACATAAATCTACTAAATTTAGAAGGACATGGAATCAGATATGGATGGCATTCTTACCTCTGGTATGAAGGAGAGAGATTAAATAAGGCATTCAATAAACATGTAATTAGGGGAAGCTTAATAGATGTTTGGAAAAGATACAAATTAGGGATGGAACCCAAAACACCCCTGTGGCTGAGGCCAATAGAAGCCATTGGGAGACCCATCTGCAAGGATGATGTCAGAACATATGGGGAACTACTTATCAGGTCCAATGGCCAATGGGCACTGAGGGGAAAAGACGAACTGGGTATTAAAGATTGGTTCCGATATCATCAATTATACGAAAGATTCAAAAAAGACGAGAAGAGGGGATTTGCTTCCAAAAAATCAGATCTGGAAACTATATTAGATAAAGGGGAAAAAGGATTAATAGCCAGATTATACAAATATATTCTACACTATAATTTGGAAGATAATCGTGTTAAAACCCCCATGATCTCATGGGCAAAAGATTTAGGGAGAAGCATAGATTTTGACATCTGGGAAAACCTGTGGAACAATGGCTTTAAATTTACAGTGGCAGCTTCAATTAGAGATAATGTATATAAAATGTTCTACAGATGCTACATAACTCCAGCCCTCCTAGCCAAAATGGACAATTCACAAACAGGATCCTGTTGGAGGTGCAAAAGAAAGAAAGGGACTTTCTTTCACGTATGGTGGTCGTGCGAACTGGTGCAGATCTATTGGAAAAGAATAATAAAGGAAACAAATAAAATGATTTACAACAAAGTAAAAAAGAACCCAGGGATGTGCCTATTAGGGATATTCAGAGACAGTTTAGAACAGCCAGAGAGAGAAATCTGTTTGTACAGCTTTGCGGCTGCACGCATTACAATTGCCAAAAATTGGAAAGGGGAGAAAACATTAAGCATCAAAGATTGGAAGGATAAATTGTGGGATTATGCACAGATGGCTAAGATTTCAAGCAATTTGAAATATGAAAATAATGAAATATTTGAAAGAAACTGGAAGCTGGCCTTAGCATACTTGACGGGAGAGCTAAAGAAATAAAAACAAGAGGAATATATTGAATTACAAGTATAGAGGGTTAAATAAGTTGTGCATAAATCCTGCGTGGATTAGTGACGGAAGTCAAGGTGGTGGGTAGCACTGGGGATGGGTGGAGGGGTAACTGTATGGAGGTGTACATTTTTGCAACATATATGGTTGGTGTATTATCTTTTCAAAATAAAATTTAATTAAAAAAAAAAGAATACAAATGCTTTAAATAAATAATAAATAAATAAATGTGGGTGCTGAAGTCCAAAATACCCAGAGGACCAAAGTCTGCCCATGCCTGGGAGAAACCCTCCTTGTCTATTGTGACCTGGCATTAAAGGTGCTAAAGGGAGATGATGAAGAATGGTTTGAGACTACAGTGGCAGGAACCTCTGGGACCTCATCACACTAGAGAATGAATCCACTTAAAATCCGGTTTCTGCTTCCTGCAGAATTCTGGGGTTTGGGAGGCTGTTAAAGGTTCGTCCCTAAACTACAAACCCCAGAATCCTGCAGGAGGCAGAAACCAGATTTTAAGTAGATTTGTTTTCTAGTGTGATGAAGTAACAAGGCAGCTATATTGTAGAACAGTGTTTCTCAACCTGGGGTTCAGGACCCCGGGGCGGGGGGCGCGAGGAGTTTTCAGAGGGGTCACCAAAGACCGTCAAAATACACAGGGATCCGTGTTGGAAGTTTGGTCTAATTTTATCGTTGGTGGGGTGAACTATAAATACCAGCAACTACAACTCCTGAATGTCAAGGTCTATTTCCTCCAAACTCCACCACTATTCACATTTGAGCATACTGAGTTTTCGTGCCAAGTTTGGTCCAGATCTATCATTGTTTGAGTCCACAGTGCTCTCTGGATGTAGGTGAACTACAACTCTAAAACTCAAGGTCAATGCCCACCAAATCCTTTCTGTTAATCATGGGAGTTCTGTGTGCCAAGTTTGGTTCGATTCCATCATTGGTGGAGTTCAGAATGCTCTTTGATTGTAGGCGAACTATAAATCCCAGCAACGACAACTCTCAAATGACAAAATCAATCCACCCCCCAACCCCACCAGTATTCAAATGTGGGCGTATCGGGATATTTGTGCCAAATTTGTTCCAGTGAATGTAAATACATCCTGCATATCAGATATTTACATTACAATCCATAACAGTAGCAGAATTTAGTTATGAAGTAGCAATGAAAATAATTTTATGGTTGGGGGTCACCACCACATGAGACTTTGTATTAAGAAGGGAGGTTGAGAAACACTGCTGTAGGAAGAATGCAGTTAACAGCAGTCATGCCAGCCACATGACCTTGGAGGTGTCTATGGACAACGCCAGCTCTTCGGGTTGGAAATGGAGATGAACACCAACCTCCAGAGTCGGACACAACTGGATTTAATGTCAGGAAAAAAACCTTTACCTTTACCCTACCACTTCATCATCTGGAGCAGGCATCCTCAAACTGCAGCCCTCCAGCTGTTTGGGCCTTCAACTCCCAGAATTCCTGACAACATTGGACCATGCCCCTTTGTTTGGGTTGTATTCTCCACAAAGAAAATACAAGATTAGATCCTTGGAATCCACTGGGTTTTTTTTTTTTTTTTTTGTTGTAAATTTTTTTTTTGCCGGGGTTTGATGTCCCAATGTTGTTGTCTAGAAGCATTCTCCTCGATCCTGAATGTTTTTCCGCCTGCACATCTGTGGGCAAGCATCCTCCAAAGAGGTTTTGTTGAAGGGATGCGTGCCCACAAGATGCAGGCGAAAAAAATGTTCCCAAAGGAGAGAAAAAAATGCTTCTTAAAACATGGTCTAGAATCTTTGGTAACAGACCGCACAACCTTCTGAGGATGCTTGCCAACAGATTCAAGGGCGAAACATCAGGAAGAGGAATTGCTTCTAAAGAACACGCCAATACAGACCTTGGACAATAATAACAACCTGAAAAACCCTAACAACAAAACAAACCTCTGAAGGATTATGCCTTTCCCCCTTAGATGGCCAGGGTGCAACGTCAGGCGGAGCAATGGCCCTTCTAGAACATGGCCAGACAAACCTTGAACGAACCTACACAACCCTCTGGGGGGCGGAGGCTTGTGGTCCATTTAAAGATGCCAGGGTGAAATGTCAGGAGAGAATGCTTCTAGAACATGGCCATACAACCTTAAAAACCTACAACCACCAAGCCTATTAGGGCTTCTGGGAGTTGGGAGGCCCAAACAGCTGGAGGGCCGCAGTTTGAGGATGCCCGATTCTGGAGCAATGTGGGGTACAAATTTGATGAGGCACGGTATAGAAAGGCCTGGCCAAACTACATCTCCCATGAATGAGTCCACATCCTGGCTGGAGGAGGGCTAAGAAAGAGTTCAAAGGAGTGCCAAACTTGCAGCGTAAGGCAAGGAGGACCTTGGTTCCCGGGAGTGTGTGTGGGGGGGGGCTGCACAGAGAGGCGAAAAGGCGTGCCTTTGCAAGCCACCCAAGAGGCAGGCCAGGGCTGTCAGAGCTGCGCCAAGGAGAGAAAGGCCACGAGGCCGGGCGCGCGCCGCAAAGGCAGCCAGGCCCGGGAGGCACCACTCACCGATCACCTCCTGCAGCTCATAGGCGTCCCGCAGGATGGGCCAGACGATTGCTGCTGCTGCGGGGGCCGGGCTGGCCGGAGGAGCAGCAGCAGCAACTGGAGCAGCAACAGTGGGCTCTGGCTGAGGCTGAGGCTGTGGCTGAGGCTCCTGCTCTGCCTCCTCCTGCTGCTGCTGCTGCTGGACGTGGAGAGGCGAGTCGCCCGGCTCCGCCATGATGCAGCAGGAGCAGCAGCAGCAACGACGCCTCTAGTGCCGGCAAGCAAGAGAGAGAGCGAGCGTCCTTCCTTCCTCCTCCTCCTCCTCCTTTAAACTTCCCTGCCGGCGGCACCACCTTTAACCCGCCTCATCTGCCTGCCTCCGCCGCGCATCCGCTAAGGGGCGGAGGCTGGGCCGCCATCCGGAGGAGGAGGAGGAGCCGCTCAAGCCTCCCAATGCAGCACGGGCCCGCTCTCCCTCCCTGCCAGGGCGCCAGGCGAGGGAATCCTCGGGGTCCAGCACTCTCCAGGCCACACACCTTGTCAAACCACAGCGCCTATTACCACCCCATAGCATTCAGCCCTCAGTGGCGCAATGGGTTCAATGGGTCAGAGCAGGGGTCCCCAAACTTTTTGAACAGAGGGCCGGGTCACAGTCCCGCAAACTGTTGGAGGGCCGGATTATAATTTGAAAAAAAAAAATATGAATGAATTCCTATGCACACTGCACATATCTGATTTACAGTGCAACCCACCCCCCCCCCAATCAAAAAACAAAAACCCACACTTCTATATAAATAAAAATGTAATGTTCGTTTGTGGGATTAACAGAACTCAAAAACCACTGGACGAATTGACACCAAATTTGGACCCAAGACACCTAACAACCCAATGTATGTCCTTCACTCAAAAAATTGATTTTGTCATTTGGGAGTTGTAGTTGCTGGGATTTATAGTTCACCTACAATCAAAGAGCATTCTGAACCCCACCAACAATGGAATTGAATCAAACTTGGCACACAGTTCTCCCATGACCAATAGAAAATACTGGAAGGTTTTGGTGGGCAGTGTCCTTAGGTTTTGGAGTTGTAGTTCACCTACATCCAGAGATCACTGTGGACTCAAACAATGATGGATCTGGACCAAACTCTACATGAATACTCAATATGCCCAAATGTGAACACTGTGGAGTTTGGGGAAAATAGAATCTTGACATTTGGGAGTTGTAGTTGCTAGGATTTATAGTTCACCTACAATCAAAGAGCATTCTGAACCCCACCAACAATAGAATTGCCAAACTTGGCACACAGTTCTCCCATGACCAACAGAAAATACTGGAAGGGTTTGGTGGGCAGTGTCCTTGAGTTTTGGATTTGTAGTTCACCTACATCCAGAGATCACTGTGGACTCAATGATAGATCTGGATCAAACTTGGACACTGATACTCAATATGTCCAAATGTGAACACTGGTGGCATTTGGGGGTTGTATTTGCTGGGATTTATAGTTCAATCAAAGAGCATTCTGAACTCCACCAATGATGGAATTGAACCAGTCTTGGTACACAGAACTCCCATGAACAACAGAAAATACTGGGTTTAGTGGGCATTGACCTTGAGTTTTGGAGTTGTAGTTCACCGGCCTTCACCACGGCAGCGTTCCCTGGCCACGCCCACCCAGCACCGCTCCATCAATTGCGGACACCCTCTGCTCCGGCCGCTCTGCTTTGCAGAGGACCCACCTGGGAGGCTGATAATGTTTTAATGTGTATAGTGCTGATATTTTAATCATGTTATGAAGTGGCATTGTGTTGTTATTGTATATTCTTTGTATGTTAACACATGTTGTGAACCAGTCTGAATCCCTCTTTGAAGGTGAGAGGGTCGGTATATAAAACCTCGAAATAAATAAATAAATAAATTCTCCCTCCCACACAGGCAAAGCGGCCGGAGCAGAGGGTGTCCGCAATTGACGGAGCGGCGCCGGGTGAGCGTGGCCAGGCCAGGGCGCACAGGCCGGAGAAATGCCCTCGGCGGACCGCATACAGTCCACGGGCCGTAGTTTGGGGACCCCTGGGTCAGAGGTTCGAATCCGGGGAGAGCATGGAGGAGCTCCCTCTGTCAGCTCCAGCTCCCCATGTGGAGACATGAGAGAAGCCTCCCCTCCCACAAGGATGGGAAAATATCAAAACTTATCCCTGGTAGATAGCTACCATACAATTGCACTAGAGGACAGATATTCCTAGTTTTTTAGTCAAATCCTTGCAAAAATTAAACCCACAGGCGGGTTTTCATACCAGCCCATCTGATTGGTTTTGTGTGGATCATGGAAATATTATTGGGTTGCAAGCCTTTTTTATTATCTATGGCAGGGGTCCTCAAACTATGGCCCGGGGGACGGATACGGCCCTCCAAGGTCATTTACCCAGCCCTCGGTCAGGGTCAGCCTAAGTCTAAAATGACTTGAAAGCACACAACAACAATCCTATCTCGTCAGCCAAAAGCAGGACCACACTTCCCATTGAAATATGAATAAGTTTATATTGTTAAAATTGTTCTTCATTTGAATTACTGTAGTTTTTAAGTGTTTTTTGGACTACAAATAAGATATGTGCAGTGTGCATAGGAATTCATTCATATTTTTTTTTCAAATTATAATCTGGCCCTCCAACAGTTTGAGGGACTGTGACCCGGCCCTCTGTTTAAAAAGTTTGAGGACCCCTGGTCTATTGCATTGCATTTCTGAAGGCTTGTTCAAAGAGGCAGATTTTTACTTTTTTTGGGAGGGAAAGGGTCAATCTAATATCCCTAAGGAGGGTGTTCCACAGCCTAGGGCTCACCACTGAGAAGGCCCTGTCTCTTGTCCCCGCCAGACGAGCCTGTCAAATTCAAATCCGGTCCTCCAACAGTTTGAGGGACTGTGACCTGGCCATCTCTTTAAAAAGTTTGAGGACCCCTGATCTATGGAATGACCTGCTGGAAGACTTCCCACAACTAAATGAGCTGTCAGGATTTAAACCATAACTAAAGATCCATCGCTTCCAGTAGGCCTCCCCAATGAGTTTTGGATTTGTTGCTGTATTTTGATCTTTGCACCATGTTTTCTGCTGCATTTTTTATATAGTGGTGCATTTTGATATAAGTATTTTTGTTGGAAATAGCAACCTTCTCAAGCCTCCACTAGTAGTTTGCTATGTCTATAATTGCTTACTGTATTGTGTGTATTGGTTTGCAATTTTACCTAAGTTCTTTGTTGTGGGAGGGGCTGCAGACCATGTGATCAAAACTAGACATGTTCAGGACTAAGACTCCATTTTAGAATCCCATTTCCCAAATGGATATGGAGATTCACGTTTGCCAAAAAGTTATGGCATCATTTTGTAAAAATAAAGAAAAAAGAAAAAGGTTGTATGTACTATATGTTGATTTGTGTTGCCTGTGTTGTAACCCGCTTAGAGCTGTGAGGAGAGGAGGGTAACAACGTTTTTTATTATTGGGAGAGGCCAGAGGTTTCCATGTTTATAGTGCGGGGGACTCGCTCCTCCAGGTTTTATCAGAATTTTAGTCAGAACTGTCTAGAGTATTGAAGGTATTTTGGAGTTAAAAGTTCTGCACCATGGTTAGCTCTCATCTGGGATAAAACCAAAAACAGATACACCGTACTCCTGATCTGGAAGCACTAGTTGTGCAAATCTGACAGTTCTTTCCACCAATAAAACAGGCATCACAGGCGTCTCTCTTCAGCCCCACCTGCCCCTCTACTCCCACCATAAGGATCATGGTGGGCAGCAAGGAGAAAGAAAAGAAGGGGAGACTTATACTGTGCAGGGAAAAGCCAACTTACATAATGCTGAATTTAGCCCATCATCTCCCACCATAATTACCAGCATAATTTCCAAAAGGGTATCAAGTACTAGAGTATTCAAGTTTTCTAAAAATGAACTTCTTTCTAAATGCCTTGCTCTCTGTCTCATTTGAGCTGAGCTCGAGCACGTTGACATATTAAAGGTCTAACACAAACCACATTCTGAGAGACACTATGTTTTAATTCTGCTTATTACTGACAGATATTTGAAGGTTATGTCGAAATAATACTGGACGTTATCTAGGGATTATGAAACTCCACAGCAACACAGACGCACAGATGGGAACAAATGATAAAAATCTTAGTTCCTAATAAAATAGACTCAGAACAGAGGACGTGTTAAAGCCTCTCTGTGTAGACCATATAAAAAGATATACAGGGCAGAAGAAAATAACATTGCTTTGGAGATGTGTCAAGGATTTGTAAGCAGAAGGTCTTAAAATGAGTAAATCTTTATTGAGTTATTACAAGCAATAGAGATTTCCTTCTAAGAAAGCACATGAGTCTTCCTGATTGAAGACATATGTGGATTCTCTCCCGGCGCTTCTGTTTTTCTACTTGTGGAGCCAGCATGGTGTTGTAATTTGAGTGTTAGACTAGGAGTCTGGAGACCAGGGTTCACATCCCCGTTTTGTTTTGGAAACACACTGCATGACTTTGAGCAAATCACACTCTCAGCCTCAGAGGAACTCAATGACCAACCTGTCCTGAACAAATTTGGCCAAGAAAACTGTGATATGGATGTCTTAAGTCAGAAAGGACTTGAACTCACCCAGCAACAGCCCTAGTTTGAATTGTGCACTACTCAATCTAACTATATGAAAGACCTTTGCTGTTCCCAAGATTTAACTCAGCGCTAGCTCTTTTGGGTTGATGAGACTGTCTCACAAGAATCTGTGAAACCCTTTAAGATCTGAGTTCCAGCTTAACACATAGATGCTAAACTTGTGGATCAGGTATGTTTATATATATTCCACATTTGACAGAGATGAACTTCTGGGCATTGATAGCAAGATGAAGAGAAGCAACAGGCTCTTAAAATATAATTTTGCAATGTTTCCATTGATGTGCATAAAATATTTTTGCTTTGCCCATATGGTAGTTGTTCAAATATCCCCTCCTTTATATCCCCTCCTTTATCACAAGCTCTTGAGGCAAACTAGATACAAATCTAATCAACATAAAAGAGATTAACACAATAGAAAATGAAATGCAACAGGGTAATGTAAACCAGGAGTGGGCAACCATGGAAAGGGAAGGGCCACATTAGGTACCTAGAAGACCTTTTTGCCCCCAAAATCACTCTAAGTGACATAAGGAAGATTTTCATATTTCTGTGCCTTTCTTGTACTACTTTAGGCCCAGGAGAGATCTTTCTTAATAACTGAAAGTGAGCAGAATTTACTTCTAGTTTTCTTTCTCTCACACAAAATTTATTTATTTATTTACTGTTTTTGTATACCGCCCCTCTCAGCCTTCCGGCAACTCGAGACGGTTTACAAGGCAAAATTCAATATAAAAACTTTGACATCAATAAAATTATAACCGCTGTAATAAAACATAATTCAA